GCAACTTAAGTTGCAATACTTTGAGTTGTAACTATTTATGAATTTTTATATTAAAATAAATTTACAAGAAGTTGCAAACCAAGTTGCAACTCAAGTTGCAACTTACCGAGTTACAACTTCTTAATTATGGTATCCATCTTTAGTTATTTAGTTATTTACTTTTAGTAATACTCTTAAAAAATTGAGAATTTTTTAGAATTTTGCTAAGTATTTGTGATTCTTTAAGAGTTTTATAATTTTATCTCTTAATTATAAAGAATCATTTCAAAGGAATAATAAAGGATTATTCTAATAAAATGATAAAAGAATTATTTTAAAAAAATAATAAAAACTATTATTTCTATTAATATAATAAAAAATTATTTTAAATGAATGATAGAAGGATTATTTTGATAGAATGATAAAAAATTATTTTAAAGAAATAATAGAATGATTGTTCTGATAAAATGATAAAAATTTCATTCTATCAAAATAATAAAAAATACATTTCTAATAGAATAATAAATAATTATTTTAAAGGATCTAAAGAAATGATTAAAATTATTATTCTAATAAATATAAAAAATCTTTCTAAAAAAATAATTAAAATCATTATTCTGACAGAATAATAGAAGAATTATTTTATTAAAATAATAAAACTCATTATTTTAATAGAATAATAAAAAAAATTGTTTTAAAGAATAAATAAAAATCATTTTAAAAAAATGATAGAGGGATTTTCTGATAAAATGATAAAAATTATTCTAAAATAATGATTAGAAGGATTATTCTAATAGAATGATAAAAATTATTCTAAATAAATAATAAATAAATTGTTCTGATAATATAATAATATTATTTTAAAGAAATGATTAAAAAGATTATTTTGATAAAATGATAAAAATTATTCTAAAAGAATAATTAAAAATACTATTCTGAAAGGAATGATAAAAGATCATTTTAAAGGAATAATTAAAACTATCATTTTATCAGAAAAATAGGTGAATTATTTTAAAGAAATAATAAAAAGTATTATTTTGATAAAATATTAATTCTGTTATAATAATCTATCAAAATAAGTTATTTTATCATTTCTTTAAAATGATATTTTATCATTCTATTAAAATGATAGTTTTAATCATTCCTTTAGAATGATTTTTATTCATACTATAAAAATAATGTTTTTAATCAATTTTTTAGGATGATTTTTTATCATTTTATCAAAAATATGTTTTTAATTGTTCCTTTAAAATAATTTTATATTATTTTATTAAAATGATATTTTTAACTGTTTTTTAAAAATGATTTTTTATCATTCTATCTAAATGATCATTCTATTATTTCTTTAAAATAATTCTTCTATTATTCTATAGTATGATGATTTTAATTATTCCTTTAGAATGATTTTTTATCATTTTATCAGAGTAATAATAAAAGTAAAAAATTGTTCAATTTTTATCTTGAGTTTAGCAGTTGATTCAACTTGTCTGACTCATAATTTGAGTCAATTCGTTCAAATATAATTTATTACACTGATTGAAATGAATTTAAATTAGCTAAAAATCATATAATATTTAATAGATAATTTATGACTGATTTTATAACTGATTTATATTATTTCTGATTAACAAATAGGAGTCAATTAAAATAATCAATTAATTATCAATCAACTATCTAAAATTAGCTAAAATCAATTAAATTTAACTATCAATCAGGTATTAGTCAGCCTAAAATCAGTTTACACAAATTAGAACTAACAATAACAAATTTATATTTATTTAAATTTTTAATTTTTTAATTTCATTATTTTTAAATTTGATCTTTTTTTAAAAAAAAGAAAAATAAAGGAATAATTAAAAAATCAATTTTAAAAGTCTACTTTCAATATAAAAAAATAAAGTAAAATAAAGGAATAAGTTAAAAATTCCATCTCAAAATCACTTTCGATTGACTTATTATTGTTTATTCCTAAAGAATATAAAGAAAAATAAAGAAAAAGATTAAAAAATCCATACAAAAGTTACTTTCCTTAATTTTAAAATGAGAATTTTTCTAAAAAAAATAAAAAAAAAATAAAAAAAATAAAAATCTACTCATAAAGTTACTTTCAATTTATTTACCTTGATTCCAATTTGAAAATTTTCCTAAAAAACAAAAAAAAAAAAGGAAAATAGTAAATTTTCACACAAAAAGTCACTTCTAATTTATTTATTAAGATGATAATTTCCTAAAACATAAAGAAAATAAAAGGAAAATAGTAAATTTTCATTCAAAAGTTACCTTTGATTTACTTATCTTAATGTATTTCTAAAGAAAATAAATAAAAAATAAAGAAAATAGTTAAAAAATCACTTAAAAAATCACTTACTTTAATGTATTCCTTAAAAAAAATAAATAAAAATAAAGAAAATAAGACTATACAAAAGTTACTTCTGAAAAACTTACCTTAGTTTCAAAAGATAATTTCCTAAAAAAAAAAACAAAGAAAAATAAAGATAAAATAGATAAAAATCATCTTAAAATCACTTTTAAAAGGCTTATATTAGTTTTAATAAGAGAATTTCTTTAAAAAATATAAAGAAAAAAATTAAAAACCATCAAAAAGTTATCTTCAATTTACTTATTTTAAAAAAAAAGAAAAATGATAAATTTTTACCTAAAAAATCGTCTTCAAATAATTTATCTTATTTTCAAAATGAGAATTTTTTTTTAGAAAAACAAAAAAAAAGAAAAATAGTAAAAAATTTTTTAAGAACATTTCTAAAAAAAATATAGAAAAAAAAGAAAAATTTTTTGTTCAAAAGTTTAATTCTAGTCAATTAAATGATATTGTATTGATTAATTGAAATTTCATCATTTTTATTAAATAATTTGATCATCTCTTAGAGATAATGGCTTAATTATTCTAATTATTTGATTTGAACAATAGTGTATCATTCAATAGAAATAATGATTTGATTATTCCAATCAAACAATTTTGCATTATCTGATTGGAATAATATTGAATCATTCAAATTGAATGATCATCATTTCAAAGAAATAATTTTTATAATTATTATTGAATGATTAATGTTTCAAATAGGATATTAATGGTTATGATCATGACTGATCATGATTAGTCATAATTGTAACTGATATCAGTCAGTCAAAAGTTTCTGACTAATCGGTTGACCAAACATTTTTTAATTAATAATTCAAGAATTCTTTGCATTTAATTAACAATCATTTTAATTATGTAACTTTTTTAATTTATTTTTAAAAAAGATTCACAATAATGTTATAAATATGAAAGTAAACTTAATATGAATATTAAGTTAACCTAAAAGAAAGAAATAAAATATATAAAAAATCAGTTTTGCAAATACCATATTAGTATTATTTAAAGCTTAAATAAAATTATCAATTAAATTTTATTATTATTATATAGGCTGGTCAACTGGTCATTATAACTGATCGGTTTGTTAAAGATCTTTGATTAACTATTAACTGACCATTGACTAACTATGACTGATTGTTACCATTCTTAATTTTAAAGGAATGATGATATACCATCCTTTAGGATAATTTTTAATCATTCAAAAAGAATAATGATTTATCATCCTTAAGGAATAAATTTATTTATCATTCTTATTAAATAATAGTGTATTATTCTTTTAGAACATTTTTTAAATTGTTCTTATTAAATGATTTATTATTCTAAAGTGATAATTTTTTTAAATTGTTCAATTAGAATGATAATGTATTGTTTTTTCAGAATAATTTTCTTTTTAATTGCTCAATAAGAATGATGATATATTATTTTTTTGGGATGATTTTTTTAATTAATTTTAACAAATGATGATCTATTATTCTTTTGAAAATTTTTTAAATTATTCTTATTAATGATTTATCATCTCTTTTAATTATTTAATAAGAATAATGTTGCATTATTCTAAAGGAATATTATTTTTTTAATCATTCTTATTGAATGATAATGCATCATTATAAAAGGACAATTTTAATCATTTCTTTAGATAATTTTTTTAATTGTTCTTATTGAATGATAGCTTATTATCCTAAAGAGATGATTTTTTAAATCATTTAATAGGAATAATAATCTATCACCCTTCATTCCAAATAGATAATTCTTTATATAATTAGATAATTTATATTATTTGATTACATCGATATTAAATCATTCAATTTAAATAATTATTTTTTCATTCCAAATATTATATTTATTATTCTAAATAAAATAATTATTTTTATTATCTCTTAAAAACAATTTTTATCATTCCTTTAAGACGATTTTTTTAATCAGATAATTTTGTCTGATTCAAGTTTTGAAACTGGTTAATTATATTAAATATTTGATTATTTTAAATAAAATCTCAAGAAAAAAAAACTCCTTTTTTATTTTTTTTTTTTTAAAAATGAAAGAAGGAATTTTCAATGTAAAAAGATTTAGTGATGAAGAATTTGATCCAATCAGATTGAAGATATAAAGATTGATGAATTGAATAATATTATTCCTAACAAGTCAGATAGTTAGATTTCTTGTAATATACTGTAGATTTGAAAATAATATCTGATACTTTAACAGAGCTAACTATAATAAGAAGTATCACATGATTTTAAGAGTTGTTTTAAAAGATATAAGATATCAACAAGTGTAACTATTTTACAAAAATATCTTGAAAAATATCAATTAAAAGCATTTATAAAAACGTAAGAAACTATATTATCAAAAAAGAAAGAAAAGAAAAAAGATTCTTTTAATAAATAAGAATAACAATGATATGATGAATACCTTATTAAATGGTTATCTTGTGATCTTCAACCTTTCACTATTGTTGAAAATCCTTATTTTAGAGCATTTGCTAATTTTTTTTGTTCATGTTATACTAACATAAAGTTCAAGGTAAGAAATTTACTAAAAAAATTTTTTAAGAATCATAAGGCATAGCAAATATGAAAAATTGGTTCTCAGATCTGCTGATCTAATTTTATAAAACGTTACAAATTTATTTTATATATTTTATACTATAATAAAGATCGCCAATTATGTGCAAATTTTTTGTACCAATCAAAATTTATTTATTAATGCTAATACAGATTATGAATGTATGTCATTTTCTTTATATTTATGTTTCTTTCTATTATTAGGATTATTAGGATTAATATTTCTCTTACCCATTAGTCTTTTTTCTCCAGGTAATGAATGACATTCTTGACAATATGGCAATTGGTCATCTATTTGAACTATATCTTCTGATGTATTACAAATACAACAAATCTGTAAGAAAATTTCAGCTTTGAAATATGATTTTTTAATTTCTGATCTATATGTGTGCTTTGCATTTATTTGTATCAATTTGAATAATTTGGCTATAGGATCAACTTCGCGTCCTTTTTTTTCATTTTCTTGATCACAACCTGCATTCTTATTATTTATAATATATTCATCATTTTTCTCATAAGTTTCTTCTTCATTATCTATTGGTGATATTTCTCATTTTTTTGTGATTTTACTACTTTCTCCATTTACTTCTTCTTATTTTATTTCCTTATTATTTAATTTATTTTTTTCTGATATTCCTATTAAATCTGAAATATCCTTAAATGTAACTCCACAACTATATTCTATTGAGTCAATAAAAGTCTAAAATAATTGATATTGCTCATCTGATATTTTTCGATAGGCATATAAAACTCTGAACTTGTTACATTCAGTATATTTTATAGCTGTTCTAACATTTATGCAAACTGAACAGTTGGACTAAAGTCCATGCTATTACCATCTTTTTTTTCTACTTTTTTTGGCACATTGCATGATTCTCTATTTTATAATGAAGAACAATATATCTTCGTTGTATCTGTGCTATATACTTTCGAAAATGACTTATAATAGTTATCAGATTCAAGAATAGGATCAGATAATCCTTTAAGTTCTTTAAAAATTTTCTGGATCGCTTCTAATTAGTTTGCAGATTGTGTATTCAACTTCCCCACATTTTTTTATTTCAAAAAAATATTGTCATTTTTTACAACAATGATCCATAAATGCTTGTAATTTTGGCTAAAATAGGTAAAAATGTTTGTTATTAAACAGTTATGATTTGTATAACTAATTAAATATATATATAAATACCTTATTTGTTACTTTTTTTTGTGATATATCATCTATCGTAATAGAATCATCTATTACATAAACTGATTTCCAAAAATTTTACATTTCCAATTTAGTTGCCGGTTTAAATACCTTAAAAGGTTCATCCTTAAGGCTTTGACGCTCAAATATATTACTTAATAATTCCTTTGTAGGTTCTAAGCTTGCTAGAAGTTTTTTTTCTAATAAATTGTTTGTTTTGCTTTTTCACGTATATCTTCTATACTATTATAACCATTCATTAAATTCTCCATTTCAGCACTCATTTCTTGACATATTAATTTAACATATTGCATTCCAAGATTCAAAATGAACATTATCTGTTCCACTGGATTTTTCTAGGAATGCTTAGGATGAGTTCTAACGGCAACTAAATAATCTAAATCTAGCATTACAAACATTGCTATTAAAGTTAATTGTATATGAAGAAAAGTATTCCTATGGTCAGGCTTACCATTCGTATAAAGCATCAAAAAGGATGATCTAATTTTGTACTTATTAATATGTCATAAAACTCAGTCATATATCTTAAAGAGCTTGAGCCTTAAAATATAACGTCTTTTAATCCTATTTTCACTTTTCCCTTATAGAAAGAATCATCTATATTATTAGGAATATCACAAATCATTGCTACACTTAGAATCAAACTACATTTAGTAAAATCATGGTCTGCTACAGCAAATATTTCCTTTTTAGTTACTATAATTTGTTACCACATTCTACTGCAGCTACTGGAAATCCATGTTCACCCACTTTACACCTATGTTTATCATTCATGAAAACTAACCAATTATTCTCCTTAAATTTTATAGCAAGTTTCTTCAAATAATGAATAATTGCTGATGTGTAATGACTATCAATATAGTCTACACATAATTGCCGAATTTGTATCATAAATTTAAGAGGTAATCGTCCAGTAAATTGCAAGCTTGACAAATTCCATGGGTTCTTAGCCTAAAATTGTAATCTTAACCATTGTATAGAAGGTTTTGGTGTATTTTCTGGACATCTACTTGCAATTTGATTTCTTAAATCCTTTACAGATATAGCATGAGCTAAATGTACTATAAGATCATGCCATCTTTCATCAACAGCAACAATAGAATCCTATGCAGTATTTTCTAAAAATCTTTTTACCTCATCCTAAAAAGAATTATATATTGATATTTGACTTTCATTAAAATGCCTAAGATCAGTAACTAATTCTGGATCATTTAAATCAAATGCTAACCTAACTCTGGCATCTATTTTAGATTCATGTGTGAAACAATCTCCCATAAATTCTTTATATATATGATGAACTTAAGATTTTTCAACATTTCCAAGAAACATTTCACATGTATTAACAAATTCTTTTCTCATTACCCGAGTAGCATATTTAGGCATAGATTTCTTAACCTATTACAGATTTCATAATTTTTCTCAAATGCTATAGATTTATCAGCATTTGGATCAATCTTTCAAACAAAAGTAGTATTTATTACATTTCTATGCTGGTAAGTATAAATTCTAATATTAAATGAAAAAACTTTCTCTAGCTTCTGCAAATATCTACTTATCATGCTAAAAAAATTTAAATTAGTTTAACATTAATTTATTTCTAATAATAAAATATTCTAATTTTAACATACAAGTTATTTCCAGAATAAAATAGATCAATATTGACTTCTTCCCAATATATCACAGTTTCAACAGCATTAATAAGTTCTTTATATTTCTTGACTAATTTCAAATTCCTAAATATAACAGGTTTAATAATTTTTAATTTTCCTGCATCCTCTTCATTTACTATCCCTTAGACTGTAAAGCAGGCAAATTTACCTGCGAAATTAAAAAAAAGTGTTAATTTCTTAATAAAATATTAAATATTAATTTTATTAATATCATTATTATATATTTTATTAACTTAAATAATAAAGATTTTAAGTTTTTTAAAAGATTTTTAAAATAATCTAATTTTAAAATTAAGTTTCAAACAATTTTATATA